ATGGTCACTTATAGTAATCAGCATAAAAAAGTCTATCAAAAAGCTTTAACATTTGATGCAACAAAATCACTGTTCCCTTTTGTTATTATTATTATTCAAAGCACCTAAACCATTTGTTCTAACAAATTGTTTCTTAAAATTTACCTACGAGAGGGATTTTTCGTATTGTACATATTGGAAAAATTCATCGAAAATTTGCTAAGTCCAACAAACAAATTTTAAGAAAAAATTAGAAAAATTGCTAAGTCACAAAAAAGTAGCTACAAAATTTGTAAAAAAGCAGACTTTTTTATTATTTTTTTTTTAGTAAAGGGTAAATGAAAAACGCGAAACATTGCATTCAAAGTTTTGGAAAATACTTAAAGAAAAATACTTAGGAACGTTTTTTGTGTCTCCTGTACAATTGAAAAAAATGGACTTAGCAACTTTGCACTCTAAGCTAGCGATATATGGGTTTACCACACTGAAAGGGAATTCTAGTTACCTCATCCTTTCCCAAGGCTACATCACTGGGGCGGTAGCCCCAGTTGGTGCACACCAAAAGGAGACTTCTATTTGGTAAGGGTTATAATCCCTAAGTGCGGCCGAAGTCCGCCTACATAGAAAGGTCTTCTCTGCAATAGGTGTTCAGCTCCGCTTCTTCGGCAATACAGAAAGAGAATTCTACTTTGTAAGGGTTATGATCCCTCAGCACGGCCGAAGGCTGCCTACGCAGAATGAAGTTCTGGGCAAAAGAAACTATGATATCACCATCACTTGTCACTTGCTTGTAAATGCTTTTCATTTTTTTTTGATCACTGAATTCTTGAACCTCAAAAGTAGATCATAATAAAATGTGTATATCAAATTAAAGGTAAGAACATGCACTTTCTAAATAATATATATGTCTTTAGCATTGATTATGCACTTTTTTCTAAAAAAGGTTATTTTATGAAAAAATTATGACATTTTGTTTGTTTTTTAATTTTTTTGGCTCAAGCAAGCAAACACATTTTACATATCAAGTTTGTCTTTATTTTGATATCATTACTTTTTTAATCGGTTACACAGTTTAGAAACTATTAATATTTTAAAATATTACACAAATTTTCTTTAACCTTTTATATCTTCTTTACTTTTTAATTGCGGGAAATAATATTTATATAGTTGAAATCAGCAATAGTTGAAATAGCAATAAATAACTTAAAAACTATAAGGCTCCGGCAGCTAAAAACTATATATTTGCAACCGGGAGAACTTCCCCTACCGTGCCATAGCTACCTTAATGCGGGACTACGGTGATGCCAAACTAAATTGCAGCCCTTAAATCATTTGTTTCGTATTTTACTAGCTGTAAAAAGGGTTTAGTATCTCAACAGAGGTCTTTCTGCGAAAATGTTGAGGGGTGTAATGAATCTTCCAGATTAAGGCGTATTCTCGCTAGGAGTCCCGCTTCGTTGGGGATGGGGCAGGACACTGGACTATGAGTAGCGAGGAGTCACATAGCTTGCTCCTGGATACTCACTTTCCTTCCAATCCTTCCCGGAAGAAATCTCCTTAAGGGAATTGCGCGGAGACTAACATTTTAAAATCAAGTTCTAAGTAAATTTTTTGTGTGAGTTTAAAGTAGGTTGTGTTGAAATTACTGTCAAATAATTTGGGATTCATAATTCAAGTGTTTAGTAAGAAAAATATATAGTAGAACTCATAAAGGACCTGCACAAGTGATTCCGGCATCGTATAAAAAGATTACTAGTACATCTGTTTATGAGTACAGCGATAGTTTTTTTAATCGTATAATCGCTCACACGATGCCGATTCTGCCGATGGGACATCGTAGCATCGGACGATTACTATTTTGACATCGCCGTAAGTGCGTATAAAAACAACATTTATTGAACTTTTTATTTAATTTTATAATTCGTATTTAAAGAGAATTGTGTTGAGCACATAAAATCAAATTGCGTCCAAGTTCTAACTTTTTAAATATGTTCTTCTGCCCTATAATTGCACTTTACAGAACTATTTTAGACGTGTAGGAATTTATAATTTGTTTAAAACTTTTCCATACGTCAATGGAGCCTGTTGCTCTAATCGCGAAATATTCTCCCGATTTTATTTTATTAAGCACTTCTGCTTTGCTGTACAATTTCGCTTTAAAATGCTTACACGTTTCAATGCATTTTTAAGTTTTGTCATTTTGTCACATTTTCAAATCGAACAGCGCTCATCGTCTCATACAAAAATGATGTTATGAAAAGATATTCGCTTTCTGCCAAATAAAACGATGCTTTTCCTACGATGTCAAATTTAAATTCAAGTACTAACTTGTTATATTTTTATTTACTCGTGCAGGTTTCTAGAACTCATCTGCTTTTAATAAAATTGTGTTATATATTCAATTATGTGAGGGCTTTATCTATATGTATTATGAGTTATTATTAAGCAGGACAAAAAAAGCTAAAAGTTGTTATATTTAATTACAGAAATTGAAGTTATGTTTCGGGTTTGTTACATAATGTTAGAACTTCATTGCAAATGTTTACCACAATTGCATTTTCGTTTCCACATATTTAGATAAGAATAATTCAACAGTTGTCAGAGGTAGGTTTTCAGGGCTGATAAGCTTTATTTGTTTGTTGTGGTGGACGCAGGGCAGGAGGGAGGAAGCGCGGACTCGCCCTTTACTTACATATATACCCTTGTGGTCAGCTGATTAAGTGAAGTGATATTTTGACCAGTTTTGGTTTTTTCTTTTGTTTATTTAAAGTTTATAGTTTTCTTATAAAAGTCTAGCACGTTACATAACCAGAACCACATAAATGCAATTTCAAACTTCGTACAAAAATTATAAAAATTCAACAAACTTTAAAAACTACGCCCAACAATTTTAAAAGTTTCGTTCAGAGTTTTTAGAAAAATTCTAGGTATGCAGTTTTATAGCCCATTCAATTTAAGTAGGTAAGAGTGACTGAGCGTTGGACGTAGGGTGGCCAGATATTATAGTGACATAATCAGTACAGTTCGGATCAAAAATCAGTACAAGGCCATAAAAATCAGCTCATTTTTAAGCGTATTTTTTATTATTAATAATATAACAACGAAATAACAGCGCATTAATTTAAC